AGTGCATTGCCAACAGAATAGATGGCCAAATTCTAATTTCTGAACTTTATTCCTGTTGGTATTTAAAGACTGATTTTTCAGATTTTAGGCTGTTTTGCAATGCTGGCTGCTCAGAAAAGTTGTAAACAGAGCAAAATTGATACAAAACTCCATTAAAGAGGATAAATATGGTATCCTACACTGTCACTTTCTGAAACGCGAGCAGGCATTAGCTTGGCAGCAGGTGTCTTTTGCCTATAAGAGTAAGGACTGTGATCTGTTGAACTAAAGTTTTCTTGTTGTGTAATGCCAACATGATTATCTTGCTTTAATCTCTTGTTTCAGCCGTTTCTAGATTAGGTTGTCAAAGTGAGCAAACTTGGTGATCAGTCACATAACTAATTATACCATCACAGATTTGGAGATTCTGCCTGCCAGATGTTTGTTTCTAAGGGTATGTATACACTACAAAATTAGGTCGATTTTATAGAAGTGGATTTTTTAGAATTCGATTAAGCACATTAAGTCAGCAGAGTGCATCCTGACTACTGCAGCTAGCATCGACTTACAGAGCGGTGCACTGTGGGTAGCTATCCCACAGTTTCCGCATCTCCGCTGCCCATTGGAATTCTGGGTTAAGCTCCCAATGTCTGGTGGGGCAAAAACTTTGTCGTGGGTGGTTTTGGGTACATGAAGTCAGCCCCCCCCCCCCCCCCCCTCCGTGAAAGCAACCGCCGACAATCGTTTTGTGCCTTTTTTCCAGGATCCCATCCGCCGGACCTGCTCAGCCCGCTGCCTGCCTGGATGATTGGAACCCCAGGCAGGCAGTGGGCTGAGCAGGGCCGGCGGACAGAGCCCCAGACCCGCTGCCAGTCTGGGGCTCTATCCGCCGGCTCCTGCCAGCCGAGGTCTCGCTCAGCTGGCAGACCTCGGTGAGGTCGATCAGGGGTGCCTGGATAGACATGGCTATCCTCCTCTTAGAGCACCAAGTGGGAGTGACTCCAGGTCATTCTCTTTAAGTTTAATCTCATGGAGGTTCAGTCCTGCCTGGAATGTCATGCGAGCTGGAGGCTTCTGCCTCAGGCTGCTCAGGCCGCGCGGTCACACCTACCCCAGCCTGTCCCTTGCTCCATGGCTCATGAAGCCTGGACAGTAGTAAGGAGCAGTTCAACTTGTGGAATGACCAATCCAGAACGAAGGATTGCACTCTATGGGCCACGTTAAGATTATTTCAGAGTCCTAGATAGCATTTAGTCCCTATAAAAGGCTTCATGAAAATTTTCCCTTGCCCCTAACAAAAATGTTAATTTATCAGAGCAGCTGAAAGGGTAAGGAACCCGGGACTATAACTTAGAGAGAGCTTCCATATTATTTAACTCATAATTGATATAATTCAAAGTAAAATTTCACAGCGCGGTCTGTTTTAAGACTAAAAATGCAGGAGGGGAGTCAGAAAAAGGAACGGTGACCTGTTTTCGCCTGGTTTCGAACTGGGGACTTTTCACGTGTTAGGTGAACGTGATAACCACTACGCTACGGGGCTTCTCTTTTTTTTTTTTGCCACAGACTTTGCCGAATGGACAGGAATGTTTTCTCTAGCTACAGAAGCTACCTAATGCAATGTCTGTATCTATGGCCTTCCTGCTCACAAAGCGGTCATGCCCCCACCCCAGGCTGACACAGCACGGAGTGCATGTGACACAGCGACCTGGCTCGGGCAGGATCGCTAGCGAGGCATGATTCTTTGGCCGTTAAGCAAACACAGCAATTCTTTCCTGGCCTCTGCCACTGAATGCCTCCATGCATTACGCTGTGCCCTATCAGTGCGGGAGAACTGCATGAGCTGGGAAAACATGTCATCGAGTGCCTTTTTTTTTTGCCTTCTAATCTGCGATAACCTCAGGGACAGAGATGATAGGGGGAGCGTAGAAACATTCGAGGGGACTGCAAGGTCACCTGTGCTGCTGAGTTTGCCACGCTGGCCAAACAGGAAATAAAATTCAAAAGTTCCCGGGGCTTTTCCTGTGTACCTGGCTAGTGCATCTGAGTTCAAAGTGCTGTCCAGAGCGATCACAGTGGAGCACTCTGGGATAGCTCCTGGAGGCCAATACCGTCGAATTGCGTCCACACTACCCCAAATTCGACCCGGCGATGTTGATTTCAGCGCTAATCCCCTCGTCAGGGAGGAGTACAGAAATTTATTTTAAGAGCCCTTTAAGTCGACAAAAATGGCTTTGTCGTGTGGACGGGTGCAGGGTTAAATCGACCTAACACTGCTAAATTTGACCTAAACTCGTAATGTAGACCAGAGCTAAGTGTAAGGAGATGAGACAGGGAAAAAACTCAGAATGTTGTTCTGACAGTCCTCTAATAACGGTAGATAACCCAAGGGAGGAGGCCAGTTCACTTCCTATCTCCCAATAGTTTCAGACTTGTCTAGGTAATCTGAGGTTTTCATTGGGCTTCCAGTTGTTTATTTCCCCATCTCTAACCACGTTTCACACTAGTGTGACTAGTCATAGCTGGGGAGTAGGCTCTCTGCCAATGCCTGCTTTTGTGCCCTTCCTTTTCATTCCTTCCTGAGTTAGTGTCCAGCTTGTTTTAGCCTCAAGAGTCAGGAACTGCCCTGCAAGCTAGCCATTCTCCATTTTGCCCTCTGTTCTGACTGTCTCTGGCGTAGGGGCTGGAGCCTTGGTTGAAGAGCATAGAAACAAATCAGCATTCAAGACTTCAAACCGTGCTTTATGGATGCAAGTTAACTGGGATTAAAATGGTGTGCTCTTGCAGGACCGTACACCACTGATTCCACATAATGAGATGTGTGTGTGATAGCTCCAGTGTTTTATATTTTTGCTTTATTTTTATTTTTAAATTCCATATGCTCTCTCTAGTAATGGAGGGGGGCAGGCAGTGATTATATAGTATTAATAATAAAAATCCTTACTGTGGAACTATGTTGTAAAAGATCTGTGGAAAGCTAGGACTTCATGCACCATGGTATTCAACACTCCATCGTGGCAGAAGGAATAGAACTCTGATGCCCCTGCTCTGGAAACACGAGCTGCTACCACTTGAGCACAAGGAGAATATAGTCACTAGCAGTATATGACCCATGACATGTAGATGAGGAGTTCTGATACCCTCCGGTGGAGAGCAGTGGCTCACACATTCAGTAGAAGACATTTACTGTAAGGAATTTAGGTTTGACAAACTTGGGACCTGACCCTGTTGTTCGGGCAGAACTTTCACTAAAGTCATTGGGAGTTATATACATATTAAACGGCAGGATTTTGACCACACCCTTAGAGAGAAGCTGCGAAGTTAACACGCCTTTCAAAGCTATTGTTGTCTCAGTCAAATCTGGGAAGCTGACTTTATAATTGTATGGTCTATTAACGTTTTTAAAATTTAAAATAAAATCCTATAGCGGGGTCGGCAACGTTTGGCACGCGGCTCGCCAGGGTAAGCACCCTGGTGGGCCGGGCCAGTTTTATTTACCTGCTGACGCGGAGGGTTTGGCCGATCACGGCCCCCACTGGCCGCGGTTCACCGTCCTGGGCCAATGGGGGTGGCAGGAAGCGGCGCGGGATGTGCTGGCCGCAGCTTCTCGCCGCCCCCATTGGCCCGGGATGGCGAACCGCGGTCAGTGGGGGCCGCGATCGGCCGAACCTGCCGCGTCAGCAGGTAAATAAAACTGGCCCGGCCCACCAGGGTGCTTACCCTGGCGAGCCGTGTGCCAACGTTGCCGACCCCTGTCCTATAGAAACTGATGGTTTACCACAGCGTTTACCACAATGGGGTGCTGGTCAATCACTGGGGCTCCTTGAGGCCATCACAGTACAAATAATAAAAAGAATAAGTTTGGTGTTGCCAACTCTCAAAATTTCATCGTGAGTATTGTGATATTTGATGTCTCTTTCTTAAAGCCTCAGACTCTCCTGGAGTCATGAATCTCAGCCTTCATTTAAAAACAGAAGTGTTGTGGGTGTTTTGTTTTGGTTTTTTTAAAGACCTCATAGCTGCAGAGAAACACTTGGGTCATGTTTTCAAGTCCATCTGACTTTCAAAGACCGGAAAGTAAATAAAAGTAATCCCTTCTATTTTATCTAATCTAATCTAAAAACCTCTTGATTTTGGGGTGTCTGCTCACAATTTTTGAGTGCTTGGAGTTGGCAATACAGTTCATTCTGTCTACCCAACTTGCCCACGCCTTTTTTCTGAGGGTCTTTGCAAATATCAATGAATGACTGCTCAAATCTCCTGGTACATATCCTCATTTTACCTGAGGGGAAACTGAGGCACAGAGAAGCTAATGGACTTGCCCAAGGCCACGTAGGAAGTCTGAAACTAGACACTATTTCTGTCTCCCAGTCCATACTTCTCAGCACCATGCGCAGAAGTCAGCAGCAGTTTTATGGTTGTGATTTTGTTTCCTTAAATCATTTTATTTTTAGTCGTTCTCTTCCTCTGATTTTAACATTTAACATCCAGGAGGAACTTATTCTCTGTCTTCCAATATGTAGGTTATGGCATTGGCCAAAAATATGTTTTAATGACCATTTTGTTATAAGCTTGTTTAACGCCAACATACCCCGGTCGTTTGCAGGCGGGATCAAACTGGGGACCTTTGGAGCTTAGTGCATGAGTCTCTACTGCATAAGCTAAAAGCCAACTGGCTGTTAGCTAAGGCTGTAGAGCAGAATCATTATATCTTTCTCTATAAGTGGTCTTGGTGCCACTAAATGGGACAGAACACCGCACCCAGAAGGTGTATGGTTTACACTTGCAAAACAGGTTTGACTTGAAGTGACCGCTTCATTTTGCAGTGTTTTCCCCCGCTCCTCCCCACATATACTGGAGATCTTGTGATGAGTTATTTAAAAAAAAAAATCTGCTCCCCTGCTTCTTAATGCTAGAACTTATTCTTTCTTGTCTCTTTTGTAGGTGATGTCTGACTACAGCTGCTCCACATTGGATTAACAGTATATGCCTGGTCAATGAACTGTTATATGAAGCAGAGCTGAGAGACTGGCACCTCCGCAACATGCATGTGATCTGAATAATCAGGAATGCAGCACTCTGTTGTGAGAGCCTCTTGGCCAGAGAAGCGCATGCCATTTCTCCTACAAGAGAACAAAGTTAAGGGCTTTTTATCCCATTGACTGTAGCCCAGTCCCAACGGTTGGAGTGTTTCGTGAATCCCACAGATCTGGGATTTCTGTCTCTTTTTGCACCTTTCACGTTGACTCCAGGCCAGCCCTCACCAGGACTTCTAGGATTCTAAAGGCTTCTTTTAAATCTGTTAACAAGATGATTGACCTAAGCTTCCTAACGGAGGAGGAACAAGAGGCAATAATGAAGGTGCTCCAACGGGATGCAGAACTCAAGAGAAATGAAGAGGAGAGGGTCAGGTAAGAGACTAAAATGATCCCAGCCCACACAGAATCTTTGGCTAGTGCAGGAGGCAGCTTGCAAGGAGGGATGAGCAGAAGGTTGTATGGGAAGTTGTTTCTTAGGCCTTTTCTACATTGGGGGGATCCTGTGGCTGTAGTTGCACCAGCACAAGCCCCTAGTGTAGACAGGCAGTGTTGCTTTCGGCCACAACTTTCATGGACACAGCTTATCCTGGTTTCAAGCAGGAGTAAGCTGTGCTAGTGCAAACAGAAGCTTTATAGTGGCTTTGGACTGCTACCCAGACAGGTACGTACGTCTGTGGCTGAAATCCGCAGTGTAGATCAGCCCTTAGCTTCCTTTGCGATAGAAAAGTTGCTCATGTACTAACTATATTGACTATCCAAGTCAGTTCAGGTGCTATGATAATGGTTCCCAGAAAAATGGGATGGGGAATCAAAAATCTGAAAAATTGGAATGTTTTATAAACACACATTTGCATTTGCAACTCTTTTCTGAGGTGGGATTTGAATTTCGCTCTTGAATTGTTTTTAAATGCAGCTGGCATCTCCAGGATCCCAGCTTTTTCCTTTAGTTGATGTTCCTCAGATACCCACATTTTATTTAAACACTCCGTAATGACACCAGGGGATGGTGCTCTTCTACCGAGGTCTCTCTTGCGAAGCATTCTGAGCGTGTGCATCTCAAATAGGGGATGAGATGGCAGCCTGCTACCTTGATGTGCAAGCTGCTTCCCTTTCTTCAGGAGAACAGTGCTGCCATACCTGCTGGTCTACTGCAGTGGTCTCCAAACTTTTTTGATCACGCACTCCTATCAGTAACAATTTTTTGAGCACGCACCCCCTGCTGCGCTGTCTCTACCATTTTTGCCAAAGCAAAAAAAAAAAGCTGCTAGGACTCCCGCCCGAACTGCCGAAGCAACAAAAACAAAAGCCGCTCGGACTCCCACCTGACGAAGCCCCCTCCCCAAAAAAGCGCTCCTCCTGCCGCGCACCCCCAAGGATCCTCTTGCGCACCCCCTGGGGTGCGCGTACGCCACTTTGGAGACCACTGGTCTACTGCCTCAGTCATCAGTTACTCTGTAGAGCTTTGGGTTGTACATCTGTGTCTGTATGTAGCAAAAACAGTGTAGAGATAGGAAACCAATAATTTTAGTGAAATAAGGATCTGGGATGAGAGACTTTTGTAGAAGGGCTAAATTTGAAAGCCATTACAGCATACATTCCTAACATCATAGAATATCAGGGTTGGAAGGGACCTCAGGAGATCATCTAGTCCAACCCCCTGCTCAAAGCAGGACCAATCACCATCCTAGCAAGCTGTTCTTAAAGGTCCAGTTCTTAGACGTACCTGAAGGGGAAACTTAAACGGTATTAACTACATAATTTTGCCTGTTGCCTCAGAAATGGATGTTGATTTTTCATGTAGTGAATTAGGATGGACATGCTTGTCTGTCTGTGCTTTAGATACATCAACACTCATCAAAGCCTGGGGTGGTTTTGTGTGATGCATGTCTCTGGGGGGAAGGAAAGGGGGGCGGGATTTGGAATGAAAACCAAATCACAAGGGATTGAATGTGTTCAGGGTGGGTTTTGCCCAGGCGCCCAGCCATGGAAGAAGCATCTGGGGAAAGCAGCAATCACTGGAACAGCAAATCCAACACATGGCTATTTCTAGTGGTCTGAATGTACCATATGAGTTTTGATGCATTTGCAGCATTTTGCTTTTGCCCTGTTCAAGATGGTGTGCTTTCATGAGCGTGGCTGTATGATAATGTATCTGATAGTATCAGTTGGCCTGTTTCATTGCAGATATGGTTTATATCCACATTAGAAAACAGTTTTTCTCAGAAGCCAGGCTGAGGAAACTGGAAGCTTATGCCTCGAGTTGTCTACCCAGATAATGAACCATGACAAACTTAAATTCCTCTTTTTGTAAATAACTGCCTGGTCTTGGTCTTCAACTAAGTCTGGCTTCGTGGCTATGTACACATCACAGATTTAGATGTTCCTGAAGAGTTGAGATGAAGAATGTCATGTAAACATTACACCTTGACAAGGTGCTGAGGGATGTGTGGGGGTATATAATGGCAGTCTTATACTAATAACTTCTTATACTTCACATGCTGCTAGAGAGAAAATCTTAGCGTTGAAAGAAATACGATAGCGATCTAATCTATCCACGATCTGCATATTACGTGTTCTTGGCATGCTCATTGATTGATAATGTCACAAACACTTCTCAGAGCCGTTAACTCCCTTTAACAGGAAATAGCTGTAAAATTACACTGGATCCTGCCTGCACAGTTGATCTCTGCTAGCAGCACTCACTGTTGCTGGCCTGGAGCTGTGAAGATGCCCAGAGAGAATAGTAAGGTGGTGACTAGCAGGCTGGCCCATGCTTACCCCATCATTCCTTCCCACCTCCCATGTGTTCAGTGCACATGGACTACCTGCCTATACTCCTGCACCTTTGGGTAAGATTATAGAGTGACACCCCCCAGCCATCACAGTGGCACTGCAACACTAGAGCCCCTCCTGCAGCTCTTCCTCTGCTGGCTGGAAACACACTAAAGAGTTGGGAATGGCATGCCTCCTTCTCCCCTCCCCCCCTGCCCTTTTCTGAAGCAAGATATGTGTGGAGAGGGAAGAGGGCATTGTCTCCCCTTCAAAACCAAAAGGGAAGGTGGAGGTCTTTCCACCTCCCAAAGCTCAGACTCCATGTGGGAGAAAGTTTTCACCCCTCCCACCTTGTCTGTGTGTGCAAGGTGTCCCCCCCTCCTCCCTCCATCGCCCCATTCGGGGCTGGGGCACAGGCACATTCATGCCACCATGGTTGGGAGTGGGGCAGGAGCATGGAGTTGTGAACTCAGTGAGAACTCCTAGCAGAGAACTGTCCAAAGACTCGACACTACTTCTCTAAATATACTATTTATTACTGGAGGGAGGGGAAAAAGGAAGCTAACAAAATTAACCCTCCCCCCATAAGAAACACAATTGGGAGTAAAATTTGAAATCTGTCTCTGCTGTTCCCTGTTCTGGCTAGGGATAGGGAAAGCGGTCTTCACAGGGGCAGTGTAGTTGCCACACAGCGTGAGCTGCCGTGTCTGACAGTAAGGTGGGTTAAGGACAGAGCTCTGGTTTGGCTGCAGCGCGATCCCTAACTGCTCCTTGCTATTTTGTGGTTCAGCATAAATACAGCGTAGGGATCTTTCAGTAGATCGTAACGTACAAAAATACGCTGATGTCCTAAGTTCTAGACTGTGATTTGATGAGGTCATCTGTGGTAGAGTGACTGACCGCTGTCACCATGGTGTCTGGAGCAGCAAAATGTGACTGCTTTCACGTTCGGATACCCTGCGTGGCTATGTGCCCGTCCTTCCCAGCAGAAGCCCTTGGAATCGCAGGCGATGTTGTCATGGCTTCTGCTCTCATTTGTTCACTCCTTCTGTAAATGGAGAGGGAGGCTAATGATATGGAAATTCTGATGTGACAGGAGCTCGGTCCGCAACCACCACCCATTGCATAGTGTGCCAGGGCTGAGGCCCTTAATATTTACCTTGGTGTGGTGCAATCCTAAGGACTCTTATATCATAAGGACAAAAAAAAAAAAAAAAAAACCCAACTGTAGGCCTGATTCTGTCAAGAACCTCGCAATCTCAGCTCTCCCATAACTTTCAGTGCAAGTTAATCATGCTCAGAACCTAGGATTGGGTCGTTTACCCCAGTCTTCCCATAACTGACTTTTCATTCCATTGGTCCAACAGGTTAGATTCCTCGTACTGAAATCTCAGGGTTGGGGGGAAGAGCGTATGTGGAGTGCTGACTAGCAGGGTGGATTTGATTTAAATCATGATTTAAATCACTAGTCAGGAAGACTCAATTTAATCATGGATTTCTACATAAAAGTGCATTCTTGTTGGTTGTTATAACCTTAATTCATATTCTTCACAACTCAGAGATAGATGTAGGTTTCATTTTTAAAGGTAAACACTATACATTTTTACAGTGATTTATTTTGAAAACTTTTCAGATTAGTTTTACAGCTATATCAGAAAATGAATAATTGTTTGGTTATTTCATTTACCAAAGGTAATTGAAGCAGATATTTATGAAGTCACTGGGAGGTGAACTATCTCCAGTTCAACAGGTTAATCCAGGGATCAGCAACCTTTGGCATGCGGCCCGCCAGGGTAAGCTCCCTGGTGGGCCGGGCCGGTTTGTTTACCTTCCGCGTCCGCTGGTTCAGCTGATCGTGGCTCCAGGCCAATGGGGGCTGCAAGAAGCCGTGGCCAGCACATCCCTCGGCCCGCGCCGCTTCCCGCAGCCCCATTGGCCCGGAATGGCGAACTGTGGCCAGTGGGAGCCGCAATCAGCCAAACCTGCGGACGTGACAGGTAAACAAACTGGCCCGGCCCGCCAGGGGGCTTACTCTGGCGGGGCCGCGTGCCAAAGGTTGCCGATCCCTGGGTTAATCATTAATATTTGGAGGATTTACATGCAGTACTGTATTAGGAGGAGAACATCACCAGACCGACATTTAAATTGTTTTATTTAACTAAAACAACAACGTTATGTATTCTGGATTTTTTTCTTCAACGGCAAACATATAATATTTTAACAAAACAAGCATATGAATTTTTGAATTTAGTTAAACATTCAAGTTTTTTAAAATCAGGTTTGATTTTGTTAAAATTGTTTTTAATTAAAATAATTAAATGACATATTTAAAAAAAGAAAAACAAAAATTAAATCGACTATGTCAGACAGGTCAACATGAGTAACTTGATATATTGGCTTCTGCAGCTAACTCAGTCGTCTTCACCTTCATTTTCCTGCTTGTTCATAACCTGGAAAAGAAAAACAAGCTTTTCTGCTTTTTCAGGACCCAAACGATTTCTCAATTTGGAATGAATTAGTCCAAAGGAAGAAAATATTCTTTCTACACTGGCAGAAGAAGCTACTGCTGTTAAAAGTGAGATTATCACTTCATCAGTCTC